ATTTTCATTCAATTCAATGTATTTTAAAATTTTCCTTGAAAATTCCTCTTTGAACCGTGGATTAGTTAGAATTGTTTTGTTTACTTCATGTTCAGAGAGTTTTTCATTATCTTTCTTTCATTCATTTCTAGTTTGATTCCATTGTAGTTAGAGAATACACTGAATTTAAAAGAATTTCAATTCTTTGAAGTTTGTTGAGGCTTGCTTTTTGGCTCAGGATATGGTCTCTCTCAGTATATGTTTTGTAGGCACTTGAAAAGAATGTGTATACTGATATTCTTGTGTAGTATGTATATAAATGTCAATTAAATCCTGTTGGTTGATGGTGAGTTCTTTTATATCCTTGTTGATTTTCTGTCTAGTTGTTCTATCAGTTTTTGAGAGAGAGATGTTGAAGTTTCCAACTATTATTGTGGATTTGTCTATTTCTCCTTTCAGTTCTATCTATTTTGCTTTACATATTTTATAGCTCAGTTGTTGGGTGTATACACATTTAGAATTGCTGTGTCTTCTTGATGGATTGACCCTTTTATCATTATATATTTCCTCTGTCTCTTAAATTTTTTATGTTCTGAAGTCTATTTTATCTAATATTAATATAGGCACTACGGTTTTGATTAATGTTTGTATGACATATCTTGATTAATGTTTGTATGACATCTTTTTCCATATTTTACTTTCAACCTACCTAAATTGTTATATTTGAAGTGAATTTCTTGTATATAAAACATAGGTGGGTCATGTTTTTTAAATCCATTATTCCAGTCTTTGTCTTTTAATTGTTGTATTCAGACCATTTATATTTAATATAATTATTGATATGTTAGAGCCCAAATCTGCCATTTTATGCTTTTGTTTACTGTTTATTCTTTTTTTTTGTTTCTCTGTTTCTTTTTCCTACCTTCATGTGTATTACATGAACTTTTTTTAGAATTCCATTTTGATTTATCTATGTATTTTTAAGTATATCTGTTTGCTCTTTTAGTAGATATTACTACATATATATGTGTTTATATATTACTATATATATTATATGTATGTATGTATTGTATAATATTATGTCCCAGATATAGACTTATCTCAGTCTACTGGTGTCATCATTTTACCTGTTCAAGTGAAGTATATAAACCTTACCTTTTTACATCTCTTTACCCTCCCTCGTTTATAATACAGTTATCTTAAACATTTTCTTTACATATATTTAGAACCTCATCAGAGTGTGTTATAATTTTTGCTTCTGCCATCAAATGTAATTCAGAAAACTCAAAAGGACAAGGAAAATCTATTTACCCCTATTTTTACTCTTTTCCTTGCTTTTTCTTCTTTCCTAATGGTCAAAAATTCCTTTTTTTTTTTATCATTTTCTTTCTGTTTAGAGAACTTTCGTTAGCCATTCTCTTAGGGTAGAACTACTACTAGGGTAGACAAATTCTCCTAGTTTCCTTAGTTTTTAACGTGAGAATGTCTTGATTTCCCCTTCATTCCTGAAGGATATTTTTGATGAGTGTAGGTGTCTGGGTTGACAATTCTTTTCTTTCAGCACCTGAAAAATAATGTGCCACTTCCCTCTGGCCTCCATGGTTTCTGATGAGAAATCGTTTAAATTGTTTTTCCTCTATGAGTAAGGTGTCATTTCTTGCCACTTTCAAGACTTTTGTCTTTAGTTTTTCTAAGTTTGACTATGGTATGTCTTATTGTGGATTTCTTTAAATTTATCCTATTTGTATTCACTCAGTTTCTTGAATCTGTATGTTTATGTTTCCTGCCAAATTTGGAAAGTTTTCAGCCATTATTTATTTAAGTACTTTTAGCCTTCTCCTCTTTTTCATCAGAGTACTCGGCTACTCTGATGACATGAATGTTAGATCTTTTGTTATAGTCCCACAGGTTTTCGAGGCTGTGTTCTGGTTTTTTCTTGTTTGTTTTTTGTTTTTTAAGTCTATTTTTCTCTGTTTATCGGATGGGGTAATTTCTACTGTTCTCTTTTACCATTTACTGATTCTTTCCTCTGTCCCCTCCACTCTGTTGTTGTGCCTTTCCATTGAGATTTTCATTTTTATTATTGTATTTTTCAGTTCTAAATTTTCCATTTGGTTCTTCTTTGTATCTTTTATTTATCTGCTGCTACTATTTCTTTTTTGAGACTTTCTATTTTTCATGTGTTTCAAGTATGTACACAATTACTCTTTGAAGCATTTTATGATGGCTACTTTAAAATATTTGTCAGATACTTATATCATCTCTGTCGTATTAGTGTTGGCAATCTGTATGAGTCAGGGTTCTCCAGAGAAATAGAACCAATAGGATTTATTATTAGGAATTGGCTCATGTGATTATGGAGGCTGGCAAGTCCAAATCTGCAGTTTAGGCTAGCAGGCTTAAGACTTAGGAGAGCTGATGGTGCAGTTCCAGTCTGAAAGCCAGCAGAGGGAGATCCAATAGAGCCAATGATGCAGATGATGTCTGAAGGCAGTCTACTAGAGAATCTTCTCTTGGAGGGATGGTAGGTCTTTTTGTTCTATTCAGGCCTTCAACTGATTGGATGAGGCCCACGACATTATGGAGGACAGTCTGCTTTACTCTATCAATTAAAAGGTTAATCTCATCCAAAAACACACTAGCAGAAATACCCCGAGTAATGTTTGACTAAATATCTAGGCACCTATATCCCAGTCAAGTTCACACATAAAACTAACCATCACAGCATCTATTGATTATCTTTTTTCCACTCAGTTTTTGCTCTTCCTGGTTCTTGGTATGGCAAATGAGTTTTAATTGAAAACTGGACATTTTTGGTATTATGTCATGAGACCCTGGGTCTTGTTTAAGCCTTTTGTTTTAGCTGGCTTCCTCTGACCATTCTGTCAGGGGAAGAGGGGGCACTGCCTCATTATTGCTGGGTGGGGGTGGTAGTTCTGGTTCCCCACTATGCCTCTAGGATACTCCCCTGGTTGGGAGGGTTAGGCGTGCCTCCTTCTTGCTCTCCACATGGTCTCCACACACTCTGTGGGTGGGGTGTGTGGCCTCGTTACTGCTGGGTGTGGTGAAAGTCCTGACTCTCCACAAGCCTCTCTGAGAGCACCGCAGTGGGGTGGGGCTGGCGTGTCTCCTTACCGCCACATGGGAGTGGAAGTCCAGGCTCCCCATGTGGTCTCCACTAATACCACGGAGGTGAGGTGGGATGGGGGGCTCGTGAGCCACTGGTTGAGGAGGAGTGTCCTGACTCCTTGCTGTTCTTCTCTGCTGTCACCTGGTTGGGGTTTGGGCAGGTTGGTTGCCTTGTTACCATCTGGGGAGGGTGTAAGTCTAGGATCCCTGGCTACACTGGCTTTTGTTGGTGCATTTTTTGTCTGTGCCTATTGGCATTTCCAGGTTGCAGGCTTCTTCAGCTCCAAGTCTGAGATAGATGAAGAAAAAGACCAAAAAAATCAGGGAACTTCCTGTGGGTTCAAAGGTCCCAGGTGGTGTGCTTTGTTTTTTCCACCTTTCAGAGTCTTAGATTTGGTGTATGTGTAACGTGCAGAATATTAATTGTGCTTAGTGGGAGAAATAAGGAAGAGTATGTCTGCTCCACCTTCCCAGAAGTGAAGTCCTGATTTGTTTTGTTTTGCTTTTTAAGATGAGAACAGAGTGGCTTGGCTGCAGATGGGAATGATCCATTAGAGAAGGGGAAATTACAGGAGCCAAATCCTTAAGTAGGTGAGAGGGGCTGAGATTGCAGCAGCAACATCTCTCCTTGTTCCAGGAAGGAGGCAGGTTTTGAGGGTGCGCTTCTGGGAGATTGATGGCTTTGGTGGTCCTTGTAGCCCACAGGTGGGAGTTACATATGGATCTGGCAGAGGTGTGGTCAGGGAACGTGGACAGCACTTAGAACCAGGAGTCTGAATGTCTGTTCTGGGTCAGGATCCAGAGATCTTGGCGGCCAGCCTGGAATCAGTGTCCGGGAATCAGAAGCCACAAGCTGTGGTCAGTCCAGGGGACCCAGGACATCCAGGGTAGAGTCTGCAAATCCTGCCCAGGCCAGCAGACACTGGAGGGCAGGAATCCTGACAGCAGGCCCTGGAGATCAGCCCCAGCCACGGGGCAGTGCCAGGCTGTCCCTCCCACTTCTGTCCTGCTCAGGGCCCTGGATATTGACTTCTGAGCTGCCCCTGAAGCGAGGAACAAAGGGGCCAGGGGGTCACCCACCCACAACACTCACTCCGTCTTGGTTCACTTCTAGCACTAGACTCGTATGGAGAAGGAGGTTCTCCGCCCCTCTCAGCCAAGTCTACTGGGGATCCAAAAAAGCAGAACAACAACTGGAAATGAATTGGATTCAGAGGAACATACCCTTTTATGAGCTGTGCTATAAAAATCAGAAGGTCTGGGCCAGATGGCCCTGCTTTGCATCCAGTTATGTAGACACGCCTGAGTGCTGGGTTCTGTCCTGGGCCAGGCACATGGCAAGAACTGCTCCCTGGGAACTTGTGGGCTTGCTGTGCATCTGGGGGGATGTGGTGTGGGGCTCGCTGTCTCTGAGCTTTGGAACTGCTTCAGACAGAAGATCAGACTTGGGCCTCGGGGCCTGTGGGCTCCATGCCGGAGAAATGTCTTTGGAGCTACCTGGCATGACCAGCAGTCTGGAAGGGAGGTGTCCAGGCAGAGGCTGGGCATGCAGCCCTCAGTATACCCTGGGCAGCCTTTGGCTCCCTGGGACTACACCTGGGCCTGGCAGCGTTGCTAGGCGGTGGCCAGGAGTGCTAAGTGTCCTTGGTCCTTTGGGAGCTGCAGCTCCAGAGAGAGCTCTGTGGGGCAAGGGCAGGCAAGTCTGACTGTGGGTCCTGCCTGGACCCCCCTGTTCCCCTTCCTGGACTGTCCCCCGTCTGGACCCTAGCCTCCCTGCCTGGACTTCCCCTGACTTAGACCCTGCCAGGTGTTGGAGAAGGGCCAAGGGCACTTGCACGGCCAGGGCTGTGTGTCTTGTCCACCTGTCCTTCGTGATCTCCTCTTGCTTCCAGACAAACGATGCAGCTGGCAACACCTGGAACTGGCTCTACTTCATCCCTCTCATCATCATCGGCTCCTTCTTCATGCTCAACCTGGTGCTGGGCGTGCTCTCGGGGTAAGAGGCCGTGCAGGCTGGTGTGCTGCCCTTCTCTGCAGGCGCAGGGCACGGGTGATGGAGTCGGACGTGGGCACGTGTGATGTGGGGTCGGTGGGCCTGGCTTGGCCCCATGGCTCACCCACCATGGCAGTGACTCCAGCGTCCTGAGCTCTGGGCAGCCTTTCCTTGTGCTGCCATGCTGACCTCTCCCTTGACCGTCCCCTGGCCCTGGCCTCCTTACCTCTGTGTCACCCTTGGCCTTCACCCTGGCCTCTGACCATGGGGAGGAGTTGCTGCTGCATCTCACCTGGTCCATGGTGAGGTTTCTGGGCAGCCATGGTGACCAGAGAGCCCTTCTGTTGCTGCAGTGGAGGATGACGGAGAGGCCCCGACTCTCGGCTGCAGGGATCACCAGCTCTCCACCCCAGCCCTGACCCCTGGCTTGCCCCTCTGCTCGGGTCCCCTCTCTGTGCTGAGCTCCTCCAGGAGAGGACAAGGGAGGGCACAGGGCTGAGAGTCCCTCCTGGAGAAAGGTGCTTCCCAACCCGCATTGGGAGTAGACGTATCATACCTGTGGGCATGTGGTACCCTCCTGTCCTGCACAGGGCCAAGGGCTGAGGAAGTGCCGTGGGCTTAGGGGCATAACTGGGGCTGGTATTTGTGGCTCCCGCCCTTGCACAGGGCTGAGGAAGCCGAGCTGGGAAGGAGGTAGAGGGCATCGGGTCTGGCCCACCTCCCTGCCCCCACCTTGGCGTCAGACTCCCTGTAAGGTTGGAGGAGAATGTCTCTATTCCGCTCATCCTGAAGATTCCTGCTCAGGCCCAGAGCTCCTGAGGTGGGCTGCGGGGAGCTGGTGGACCCAAGGGGCAGGTGTCATATTGGTCCAGAAAGGAACAGCCACAGAGAGGACAGAGGGCCAAGACCTACGCGCTCTGGCTCTGAAATGTGTCCTTAGCCTCCGTCCTCTCCTGTAAGGGGTACGATTGTCACTAGGATGTGACAGTCACCTCCATAGGGACCAGGCAAGCCCACGGCCCAGGGGACGGATGTAGAACTCCTAATCTGATGGGAAATTGCTTGTTCTGAGCTGGGATGGGGAAGCCAGGGGAGGCCTGGGGCCCAGAGAAGGCACCTGGGGAAGGGATATCTCAGCTGAGACCCAAAGGGGGACCAGGAATGAGCTTGGTGAAGGAGGAAGGGGAGTCTCCCAGGCAGAGAAGAGCTGGAGTGCAGGCCCAGAGGTACAGAGGGGTGTGGTGTCTGTGCTGCAGGGACACTTAGAGCTGGAGCCAGCAAGTATGGGGGAGCGAGGGTGCGGGGGCTGGCAAGTGCCAGGCTTGTGAGGAAGGTGGCTCTGTGCTGAGGACAGTGCATGGGGGAGTTGGCGGGAGCACAAGTGGGTTGTGGTGAGGTGGGAGAGCAGCCTGCCTAGGGTGGCTTTGTGGGGCTCACTCAGGAGAATGTACAGAAAGGACTGGGGGTGGACGGAACCTGGGGGGAGGGGCTGCATGGGCCCTCACTGAGCAGGTCCCCAAACTGTGTGTCTTCCCAGCCCTTCTCCCACCTGTGAGCATCCTGTCCTCTGGGGATGGGGCGATACAGGATGATTTTCTTAGTCAGTCTCAGCTGAGCCCTCCCTCAGGCATCCAGGTCCAGCAGAGGGACCCAGGTTCTCCTCCAGCTCTGGGGAGGCTTGGAGATGGCATGGGCCTCTAAAGCCAGCGGTCAGTGCACAGCATATGGGTCCCACGCTGGGTAGACTCCAAAGCAGCAGTGATTAGATGCCGCCTTGACAGCCTGGACTGGAGAAAGCTTGCCCTGCAGGACCTGCTCCAGCCCCAGCTCTGCCACGTCTGGGCGAGAGCTGCTGGAGAGGCCGGCTTGGAGCTGATTCAGCCTTGTTCTTCATGCCCTGGGCTGTCATTCTCCCAGCATCCCAGAGAAGCAGAGTCAGTGATTCCTCTTGTGGCCCTTCTTACCAGTGAGAACTGAAGCCAGGGGAGGGCAGGCCCTGCTGCTGGCCGCCACGTGAGAAGTGGCTGCTCTGCGCAGGGCCTAGGTGGCCACAGCAAGTTTCTGCTGGTAGCTTTCAGACGGACTCAAGCAGTATTGTCGCTGCCCTACCCCTGCCCCCCAGGCCCTCCTGACCTCAGGCGTGGCCCAGGGAGCTGGCCTGGATGGGGAGGCCACAAGGGACCCAGTGTTCCTGTAAATTCGGGACTTGGGAGGGATGGGGGAGTCCAGACGGGAGCCTTCTCCTCTCATTGCTAGGGTTGCAGCATCTCAGGCCCTGGTGGACACTGGCTGCGGGCTTGGGGTCAGGCCTGGTCAGGCTGGCTGTGCGCCAAGAGTCGGGCTTGCCAGACCCGCTCCACCAAGCCCAGCAGCTGCTTTTCCTTGGAGGAGAAACAGCCCCATGGCTGAAAACAGGCGTTGCTATTTTGCTGTGGGAGTGTGCCTGCCCTCTCTTCGGGGACTTGGATTCTGCCCCAAGCCTGAGCTGAGACGGCTTGGCCAGGCTGGATGCTGGGGGCGTGTGTCCATGTTTCATGTGTGTGCGTGTGTGTGGACTATTGTGTCTGTATGTGAATGGCTTCCTTCTGGCACTAGGAGCCTAAAAGCTTGGCTGGGAGGCTGGGGCTGAGGTGCTGAGGGCTCAAGAAGGGCAGAAGATCTCTCTCCTTCTCTTCATGAGCCTGAGGTTTGGTTGAGGGGGCTACGTGGACTCTAGAATGTTTTCCTTTTGTCTCTGGTCTGCCCTGGTCCAACCCTTTCTTCCCCTGTTCCTGTCTGTCCCTCCTCCTTCTAGCAATGGCTTTGGGTCTGAACCCGAAGAAGAAACAGAGTGAGAGAAACAGTGGGAGTTCTACAGGCTTTGAAGTGTAAGGGCTGAGAAGGCAGGTCTTGCAGGCAGCGAATTCTTGCAAGGAATTCTTGTCCAGAAGCTCTCTGTAGGATGGCAGAGGACAGGGTTGGCAGTCGGAGGGTGCCTGCCTATGTCTGCTCTAGGCAGAGGGATGTGGAATTGTCCCTGCCCTCTGGAGCCCCCTCTGGGGACTGAGGTGCTGTAGGAGTGAGGAGGGGTGTTCACCTGGGCCCTCTGAGTGCTCAGGTTAGAAGAGGCCGGGGTGGGGGGGCTCGCCTGGAGGGGTGGCCCGTGGAATGCGTCTCCTGTCCCAGCCTCTTCTGGGTTCCCTTTGCCTCTGGGCGGCACACCTGTAGGGCCTGAGAGTGTGTTCGCACTACCCTGATCTGCTTACTTTCCTGGCCCCTGCACATTACAGAGAGTTTGCCAAGGAGCGCGAGAGGGTGGAGAACCGCCGGGCCTTCCTGAAGCTCCGCCGGCAGCAGCAGATTGAACGGGAGCTCAATGGGTACCTGGAGTGGATCTTCAAGGCTGGTGAGAACCAGGGGGAGCCTGTTGCAGTGCTCCTGGCCTGGCTGTTGTCAGTTCCCTCTCCCCAAGTCCCCTCTAGCTTTCAGCTGGGGTCCCCTGGACCTGGAGTGGACTCGACCAGTCTAGCAGTGGAGAGCTAAGATGTTCTGAAAGGCCTTTGTAGTGAAGAGGGCTTCTCTCCAGCTCACCCAGGGTCCTGACACCAGGCAGCCATAAGGTTGTGTGGATGCTGGCCTTTTAATGGAAGATGCTGGCACGGCTCAGCCTAGAGCTGCTTTTGCCTTTCGGACCCACGTGCCCTGCCCATAGCCTGAGGCCCTTCTGCGCCCTGCCTCTGGGCTCCGTCAAACCTGGAGTTTCTGACTCGCCTCCTCCAGCCCCAGGCCAACATTCTTGCCTGCATGCGAGGCACCGGCTCCTGTGCCTTCTCGGTGATGAACTCACCTCGGGGGAGGCTGCTCTCAGGGAGGGCGATTGTGAGTGGGAACAAGCCGTGCCCTCTTCACAGCCACTGTCTGTGGGACACATAGAAGGTGTCTGTCTTGGTAGAAAAAACTCAGCCATGGGCTCCGCAGGCTTGTGGAAGTGTAAGGGCTGAGAAGACAGGGTCTTGCGGGCAGAGGTGCACCTTTGTCACTGTGTGTTCCTGGGGGATGAGCCCTTGTCAAGGCTGGGGAGAGGAAGACTCCAACCTGAGACTGTGTCTCACTCGCAGAGGAGGTCATGCTGGCTGAGGAGGACAAGAACGCGGAGGAGAAGTCCCCTCTGGATGGTAGGTGACTGTTGTTAGTGCTCCTTGCCCAGCGAGAGAGCTTTGGTGTGCATGCTTGCACGTGCGATGCAGGATGCTCTCTGTGGGGCCAGGCACCTGCACATCCCTCACATCAGCACACAGGCTGGGCAGAGCCCGTTCTGGAGGGAGCCCTGTGGTGGTCAGCGGCATGCTCCTGGGGAGCTGCTTGCCATGGACCAGAGTGGAGGAGCTGACAGTGGGCTCAGACAGCATGGCCACGGCCACCAAGGTCTCAGCCAGGGAGTCAGAGGAGCCTGTGCTCACAGCATGGGGGCCCCGAGAGCTGTGTTGTCCAACACAGCAGCTTACATGTGACTGTGTAAGCATACGTAAGTACATTACAGTGAAATAAAAGTGAAAATCCAGTTCCTCAGTCTCACTCACCACATTTCAAGTGCTCAAGAGCCAGATGGGGCTGGTGGCGCCCATACTGGTCAGTGCAGACATAGAATGTTTCCGTCATCATGGAAAGTTCTGTAGGACAGCACTGCTTCTAGAAGCTTTAAAGCTGCAGGTTTAAACCCAGCTGTATCTGTCCCCAGGGTTCAGGGTGATGCTGCTCCCAGATTGCAGTGGAAAGACTCCTAGCACAACTTGGGGCCCCTGGGGCAGGGGCGAGGGCTAGCGTAGCTGTGGTCACTGGCCCTGGCTACCAGCATAGCCTCGTGGCAGGAAGGCTCCCCTCTCTCCACACACACTGCTTAGGACAGGGCCAGACAGCATGGCCACACCTGCCCTGGTCTCAGCTGGGCCCATGCCTGGGGCTCTGAGCAGGTCTGTGCTGGCCTCTCTGCAGACCTGACCTGATCTCTCTGGTCTCACCTGGCCTCGGAGTGTGGCTGCTGGGGCAGCCGGCTACAGCCCTGGCCTTGCCCAACATGGACGTGTCCTGGTCTCCCTGAAGGCCAGGCCTTCCCCACTGACATCATTGTGGAGAGAAGGAAAAGCGAGACCCACCCTCAAAATTCCTTGTCCCTTTTGCTCTGAGGACTGAGAGGGGCCTGCGGGGGTCAGGAATCCTCCCGCCACCCCCCCGCTTCAGGTTCAGGACAGGAGATCGGGGAAGGCTGCTAGTTACTGGGAGAATAATTTCATCCTCGGCTGAAATGCACCCCCAGCCTTGAGGCAGGTCAGCTGAGGGCTCAGGCTCATGCAGTCCCCTGTCCCCCACCCTTTGTTTAAAGCAGTGTTGAAGAGAGCAGCCACCAAGAAGAGCCGAAACGACCTGATCCACGCAGAGGAGGGGGAAGACCGGTTTGCAGACCTCTGTGCTGTTGGTGAGTCTCTTCAGGGCCTCCTAGCTCTGTGGGGCCTGTGACTGCATATAGAACGTGCACTCAGCTTCTTCCCTGTGACCTGGGCTTCCCAGCCCTCTGGGGCCACCCTCCTTCCCCTCTTTCTCCACTGTCCACCCCTCCCAAGTAAGCTCGTCCCACGTCCACCCAGACAGCAGGAAGTACAGCGCCCTCCAGTGTGTGCTCAGATTTCTTTCCCAGGGCCAAGCCCATGGGAGTGGGCTGTGCCTATGGCTCCTGGAAGTTCCATTGTGCCCAGTGCCGCCTGCTCATTCATTTCAATACACTTCACTGGCTGCTGGCTGCTCTTGGCTCTGCCATCCCCCATGTGGACATAGCGCCCTCGGTCACATCCCAAGGCCAGAGGGCTGCGTGTGTCACTGACTCTCTGGGGACTGAAAGTTCTGGCCCTCTCTCTCCTAAGCCCCTATCTTCCACCTTCCTGGGGCCTGCTGCCTCTGAGGCCCTGGCTTCGTCCCCCACTTCTCAAACGGTCAGAGGAAAATTCCAGTTAATTTATCAGGCAGATCCATTTTAGTTCCCTTCCTCTCAGTCTGGTATGAGAAGTGGCTGGGCCTTTTCCCACCAAATGCGCTGTTATTGTGCATTCTGTGGCAAAGGAGGACTCAGCCGTGGGCCTCTACCCTTGGCCCTGTGGGAGAGGGGCCAACACTTGGTAATGGCAGCTTTTCACTGTGAGGTACCAGGTCAAATCCAGTCTGCACTTCCTTGCTCTCCAACAAGTCTGCGAGTGGACTTGAATTAGAAGATCTGTTTCCCATTACACTGTGACATTTATAAGACAGAACTCTTTGATAAAAGTTATTTGTGTGTTCATTCATTTGTGTATGTATGTATTTACTTCTTTATTTCTCCATGCTCGTCTCAGATAACATACACATAAACACATACATGCTTGTAGAGTTTTGGGGTCTTTTCACGTTACAGAAATGATTTCATACAAAATTTTCTCATGAATACCTTTTGGAAACCCCTCCCCGTCAATTAGTCTAATTCTAGTGCGCTCTCGTAAATGGCTGCATGGTATTCCATAGTATGGATTCACTATCATTTATTTAGCTGCACCCTGTTGGTGGCCATTCATTTATTTTTAGGTTGTTTTTTTTCACCATGAAAAATGCTGCCAAAAACCATGCTATAAACGTCTGTCTCTCCTTACCAGTGCCTTTGCCTCTGTGGGATCGATTCCCAGAGCAGGGCTGCTGAGAAAGGGCTGCTCATTCAGCGCAGCCTCCATTCTGCTTTCCAGAAAGGCTGTGACTTCACATCCTTGACAGTGTGAGAAGGTGTTTGCCCTCATCCTGCTACACGTTGCAGCTACTTTTGACTTTGGCCAGTTTGAGGCCAGTTTGATGATTATGAAGTGATATTTAACTGGGACAGTAATTCTTATTTCCTTCACTACTTGTGATTTTGAACCTCTTTCTAGATGTTTGTTTCTCATTTGAATTTGGTTTTGGTGACTCTTTGTATCCTCTGTCCATTTTTCTAGTGGGTTGTTTGTGTTTGTTAAGAGACCGATGAATGTTGTGGATCTGAATTTCATTACAATGTTTTCAAATTTATCATGTGAGTGTTATTTTTAAGTAGTTCCCTCTATTCCTATTTTACCTAGAGTTTTTATTCTGATTTTGTAAAATGAATTGGAGAGTTCTTTTTGTATGGCTTGGAATAATTTGAATAACACCTAAATTGTCTGTTCTTTAAAGGTTAGATAAAACTGTGAACTCATCTAGTTAAAAAATAAAAAGAACTTGAACCAGTTTTATAAATTATTCTTTGTTAGGAAATCTTCTATTTTCTTGGCTTTTCAAACTTATTTCTATAGAGCTGCATATAGTGTTCGCCCATAATTCTTTAAATCTCGCTTGTGTTCAGTCATTTGTTTAATCACTCAACAAATATTTACTGAGTGCGCATCATGTGCCAGTCAGTGTTGGAGGCATTGGGGCTACAGCTCTGAGTAAAAGAGTGAAGACTCTTCGTCTTCTGGAGTTTCTGTTTCAGTGGGGGCATCAGACGACAAACAAGACAAGTGAAATATCCAGCATGTCAGTGCCATGTGTGAAAAAGAGAAAAAACGTAGAGAAGGGAGGGGGCTTGAAGGGCCTGGGGGTGTTGGAATTTTAAGTAGAATGGCCATAGAAGGCCTCAGGAGGAAGGTTGCCTTTGAGTAAAGAGCTGAAAGAAGTGAGGAAGTCAGCCCAAGGGACACCAGGGGAAGAGAACATTCAGCAACAAGTGAGAAGATCCTGAGGCAGAAGTGTGCCTGGCATCTGTGAGGAATGTCAAGGAGGCCAGTGTGGCTGCAGTGAAATGACATGGGTTGGGGGGAGCAGTAAAAGAGGAAATCAGAGGCTCAGCTGGCTATGCCCAGCAGCGACTCTGGCAGCCTTGGTGGGTTTGCGGAGGGGGAACGTCCTCTGGTTCCAGCTGCGGGTGGAGGAGAGACAGGTGCAGAGAGGGCAGAAGCAGGCGACCAACTGGGAGGCTGCTGTAAAACCCAACAGACGGTGGCTTGGATCTAGAGGCAGCAGCCAAGGGGATGTTAAGTGATTAGATTCTAGATATATTTGGAAGACAAGCCCATGGGATTTGCTGACCATTGGATGTGGCGTCAGAGAAAGAGAGAGACATTAAGATTAGCTCCACAGGAAGTGTCTACAGAGTAGCCTGCCTGAGGGGACAGGACTGCTAGGTGAGTGCGTTTTGCGGGGACTAATGTCCAGAATTCGGTTTAGGACACGTTGAGTTGAGATGCTGGAGAACCAGTGAGCTCTTTATAAATGTTGGCGTCTGGAGTTCAGGCTGGAGACATGAAAGAGAGCATTATTGCTGTAGAAGGTATTGGAGGCTCTGAGACTGACTTAGATCGTGCTAAGTTTGGTTAAGCTTTTTTTTGGTTGTTAGTGTGTTTATCTTTGCTTTCTCTCTATTTTCTTAATTAGGATCATGTGGGGTTAATATGTATTAACAATTATTTAAAGTAAACAGATTTTAGATTTCCTTCCTTCTATTTTTTGTTTTCAATTTTATTATTTTCCTTTTTTATCTTTATTAAGTTTATCTTTCTACATTATTTTGATTTATTTTATTATTATTTTTCTGATTTCTTAAAATGTGTAATTCATTCCTTTCTTTCTTTCTTTTTTAATAACAATGGCATTTAGGCTGTCTGTGCATTTTCCTCTGTGATGTCCTCCTTTTTATTGGTTTCTAGGTAACTTCTTTACTTTCCTCTTTGAGTCAAAGGTTATCTAGGAGTGTGCTTCTTAATTCATAAGCAGAGATATTTTGATCATCTTTTTATTATTTCTCATTTTATCAGATGATTAGAAAACGTGGCTAGTAAATCTCTACATTTAAAAGTTTTCAAACTCTAAGTTCATGACTGATTAAAAAAAGTTTCATTAACATGAGCAGAAAAGTGTCTGTCCTGCTTAGGGAGCTATCAGGTTGTATGTGTATCTGTAAAAATCAAGTTTATTGATCTTATTTTCCAGTTCTTTGTGTCTTTTTCTTTTCTGCTGAGGAAAATTCATCCTGAGCTAACATCTATTGCCAATCTTCCTCTTTTTTTTTTTTTTTTTGCTTGAGGAAGACTAGCCCCAAGCCGACATCTGTGCCAGTCTTTCTCCATTTTTTTATGTGGGTCGCCACCACAGTGTGACTGATGAGCAGTGTCAGTCCACACCTGGGATCTGAACCCGTGAACCTGGGCTGCTAAAGTGGAGTGCGCTGAACCTAACCACTACGTCATGCGGCCGGCCCCTATATCTTTGTTTTTAATCTACTAGATCTGTCTAGTTCTGAAAGAGGTATTTTGAACATTCCTACTTCATTTTATTTATTTATTTTTTTTATTTTTTTTGTGAGGAAGATCAGCCCTGAGCTAACATCCGTTGCCAATCCTCCTCTTTTTTGCTGAGGAAGGTTGGTCCTGGGCTAACATCTGTGCCCATCTTCCTCTGCTTTATGTGGGACACTGCCACAGCATGGCCTGACAAGCGGTGCGTTGGTCCGTGCCTGGGATCCCAACCTGTGAACCCCAGGCTGCTGAAGTAGAGTGCGCAAACTTAACCACTACGCCACTGGGCTGGGCCCCCTCATTTTACTTTTTATGAAGTTTCTCTTGTATTTTTAAAATTTTTATTGTGATAAGAACACTTACCATGAGATCTATCCTCTTCAATTTTAAGTGTACAATACATTATTCTTGACTGTAGGGACAATGCTGTGTAGCAGATCTTTAGAGCTCATTTATCTTACTTAACTGAAACTTTATACCTTTTCATTAATAACTCTCCTTTTTGCCTCCACCCCAGCCCCTGGTAACCACCATTCTAGTCTTTGATTTTATGAATTTCACTATTTTAGATATCTCATATAAGTGTATCATTGATTTACCATATAAGTCAATCATGAAGTACCTGTCTTTCAGAGTCTGGCTTATTTCATGGAACATAACGTCCTCAAGGTACCTCTGTGTTGTCGCATATTGCAGAATTTCCTCTTCTCTAAGGATGAATAGTATTCCATTATATGTAGATACCACATTTTCTTTACCCATTCATTTGTCGATGGACATTTAGGTTATTTCCACATCTTACCTATTGTGAATAGTGCTGCAGTGAACATGGGAATGCTAATATCTCTTTGAGATCCTGATTTAAATTCTTCTGGATAAATACCCAGAACTGGAATTGCTGGATCATATGGTAGTTCTATTTTTCATTTTCTGAGGAACCTCCATACTGTTTTCTATAGTGGCTGCACCATTTTGCGTTCCCACCAGCAATGCACAAGGGTTCCAATTTCTCCGCATCATTGCCAGCACCTGTATTTTATTTTTTGATGACAGCTGTCCTGCCAGGTGTGAGGGGATAAAGCCCTGTGGTCTGGACTGCATGGCCCTGCTGCTTCTCCTGTATTTCCGGTGGCTTTGGTTTATGTCTTAAGCC